CTAACACCTAAGTGTCACCAATCAAGGGCATTATGCTAGGCTGTTTGAATTATTCCATCTGTCACTAGACACAGCTCCAGTTTCATATTTCTCACCTCCCCCAGTTGCAAGGACTACTTATAAAGTTTTTCAGAACTGGTTTTCAGTGGCAGGTAGAAGTCTTGGAGACTGAACAGAAAGCACCCAGGGCAATCCTCCTTACTCGGTTCTGGATCTTTCATTTCTGCACTCAATTTCAACACTGTCCTTGAGACCAAAAAACAGTGTGAAAGGATTTTAAAACTTTAACAGTGGAAAAAATCAGTGGTGAAGTACACTTCACTCCAGCTGATTGAAGAGCATCAAAAACTCTACAACAGTATGCTAAGTTACAAAGGAAATGTAAGTGAACAAAAGTCTAAATATAACTAAAATTACACCCAAAGCCCACCCCACCCAAGGCTAAACACATAGCACCCTAAATTAATGGCCACAAATAAATCACAATACACAAAGTTTGGTCTGCTCAATGTTGTAAAGTGAGCAACTGAGGAGGATAACACTTAACATTAAATATTTTAAATCAGAAGGCCTACATGAAAATTCTTCCTAAACTTAGGAGTTTTATTTGAAGAAACAAAACTGGTATCCTGGGCATCAATTGACTTTTCATAGCCTATATAAACAGTACTTTACAATCTGCCACCATAATCTATCAAGTGTTGTATAACATCCTTTGAAAATGACATTCTTCAATATGCTACTTTAGTAAGTTTTAAAATTATTTTATAGCTATTTGCTCATCAAATCTTACTAGACCTTTAACTATCTGATTCACTTTAGAAATCTAGTAACCAGCATAAATGAAAGGTTCATACTTGTGTATTTCAAAAGAATTTGAAATATTACTCAAAAAAATTATAGTTTTGTACTTCCCCATTAGTCAAGAAACAGAGTTGTCATAAAAACATAAAAAGGTTTGTATCCAACGATGAAATCTGCTGAGACATCTACTCAAATAGAATTACTGGTTTGCCTTCACTTTCAAATTCAAAGTATATTTTATTTTTTATTTATTTTTTATTTTTTTATTTTTGTCAGTCAAGGGGCCTGAACTCTGGGCCTGGGCGCTGTCCCTCAGCTCTTCAGCTTAAGGCTAGTGCTCTACCACTTGAGCCACAGCGCCACTTTTGGCTTTTTCTGTTTATGTGGTGCTGAGGAATTGAACTCAGGGCCTCATGCATGCAAGGCAAGCACTCTACCACTGAGCCACCTTCCCAGCCCCAGAGTATATTTTATAATGCAGTCTTAATATATTTCTAAACTTTAAAAATATTTTTATTGTAAATAACTTTATGGCCTTTTCAACTATAATCCAATATTATTTTTCACTTATTAGGATGGACAGAAGCTTTTTCTCGAAAGGTATCAGCCAAGTCAGTCTTTCACACTGTTCATACCTTGGCACTTGAAACAAAACAAAAGACCAGCAATCTGCTTAAAATCTAACAACCTTCCCTTTTCAAACTCTGGACCCCACCCACATCCTCTTCTGGTCTTCACAGCCACATATTTATTATCTACCAGAAATTTTACTCTCTCTTCAATCATACTTACTCTAAGCTCTACATTAAAGATAGGCAGTCTCAAGGTTCTAGAGCTTCAGCAAAAAATAACTTCTTTCTGTCCAAGGACTGCCTTAGATCTAGTGTGGCTCATATGGGAGGACTTGGGGTACAACTACTTCTGGAGACAGACTGGTTTCCATTTGTTATGCCTGAGACAGAAAGGTCTAGCTGTAAGGGCAGCCAAAGCACCACTCACTATCTCCAGTCTCTGTCCCTCTTCTTTCCCCAGCTTCTCTAGATTGTGACAAGCCTTTTCACCCCCTGACTACCATCTTGAACTGCATGTGGGTACTATAACCAGATTTCTTTCTCATTATTTTTCCCTTTACATAGATGTCAAATGTTCCATATTCTCTGTGTGGACACAATACTGAAAATGAAATATACAACTTGTGGGTGAGGATAGAAGGGAAAAACTGGGAGAGAGCGAGGGAAGGGGTGACATTATCCAAAAAGAAATGTATTCTTTACCTGACTTTTGTAACTGTAACCATCTGTACATCACCATTATAGTAACAAAAAAAATTTTTTTTAAGATTCTGTGTGATATTCTCAAAAAAGAAATGTACTAATTACCTGACTTAGGTAACTCTAACCTCCTGTACATCACCTTTATAATAACAATTTTTTTAATTCTGTTCCTGAATATTCTAGGTAAAACTTTAGCAAATGAGGATAATCAGAAGTTAGTCCTAAGTATTTAAACTATAAATATGTAAATGAATTGTATCTTCAAATGCCCTAAGGTTTAGTTGGGTTTTTGTTTTTTCTTGGTACTGGAGATTGAACTCCTGGCCTATGTTTGCAAAGCAGAAATTTTACTTCTTGAACAACACCTCTTAGACCATTTTTGCATTGGTTATTGTCCAAGTAAGGTCTTGCATCAACTGCAATACCATGCTTCACCTAGATGCTAGAAATGACAGCCACGTGACAATATGCCCAGTCATTGTTTCCTCTGTAGTCAGTGTGCACCAGAAGCCGGTGTACAAGAGTGCACCATCACACCCAGCCACTGGCAGAGATGGAGTCCATGAACTTTTACACCTCAGCTGTCTCTAAACACAGATCTCCCAAAATCACCCTCCCAAAAACCAAGGATTACAGGCTTAAGCACCCTTGTTCTGCTACCTTAAGATTTTTATCCTAAACAAACTGAACAAAGAACAGAACCTAAAAAGCAAAAAAAAGTTCAATGAAAGCATTAGCAGCAATTTTATGCACATTGATTCTGTAATGGTCAGTATGAATATTCCTTTCTCTGCTTTTCCTTTAAGGGACCTATGCTCTTTAAGCATAAGAATTGCTATTTACCAGGTATTATTCTAAGTGCCTCACACACATTAATTCAAGTTAATCTATGAACAACTCTATAAAGTAGGGAATATTTACAATTTCAAAAAGGGCTAAACTTAGACAGAGAGAGGTCAAATGAGTTGGCAAAGTCAGAATGCAATAAGGCAGTCTGACTTCTGTCTGTGCTGATAACTAAGATTCTAGACAGTCTCCACCCACAATGTAACTTTCCTTCCACACCCATTATCCTCAGACCTAGAAGCTTAGCAGTTCCTTCCCAGCTGTGCCTTCCCCTCCATACTATTCCTTGGTGGTCAAGGACATATGAACTGCATCTCTTCCTTTTGGGGTGCTTGTCACCTCATACTCAGATGTTTTTAACACAATCATAAATCCTCAAGTGAATCTTCCATAAATCTTAACACAAGACCAAGGAAGCATAAACAGGGGGATGCCAATGGCCTATGCCTATAATCCTAGCTATCCTAGGAGGCTGAGGTCTGATGATTGTAGTTCAAAGTCAGTCATGACAGGCAAGTCCATGAGACTCACATCTCCAAAACTATGAAAAAGTCAGAAGTGGAGCTCAAGTGGTACAGTGAGCAAAAAAGCTCAGATACCAACAAGCTCTAGAACCAATACACACACAGGGGAAAAAAATATAAAAATACAAAAATAGCCACCTCTCTGATCCAAACCTTGCAAAAGACCTGAAACTAAGATGCTAAGCTTGCTATTAGACAGGTAAATGAATATTAGGACTGCTTTTTCCCTTCCTCTCCTCTATCTCTAACCCCATCTCCTTGACCTCTCTCCCCTACACCTAAGTTCCAGCTTCCTAGTTGTTTTGAGCAAAGTGAGGGAGATTTTGTAATTTAGGAATATTGAGAGTATTTTTTAAAATACTATAAAAGTGTTATGAGGAGAGGAAGGAAAAAAGCAATCCTAATATTCAAGGTACATATGTGAAAACTGAACAGGAAAACTGAAGGGATGAGTGGAGTTGAATGAGGTAAGGAAAATTATGAAAGAGATGGCAGTGATTAAGATGCATTGTACTTGTAAACTGAAACTCTTTTGTACAACCCTTTAAAATAAAATAAAATTTGAGGGTTTAATGTGAGTCAGGAGAACTACATTAGATAATGTGAAGGTTTAACTACACAGTTATTTAGAAGAGCCATTTTAAACCTGGCCATCTCTGAATTATTTACACAGGTATTAGGCCACTGTAAAGTCCTATTCAAGCAATCTTTCCCCAACTATACAGCAAGTCTACCATGGTAAACATTTCAACTCAGCACAATTTATTGGCGTAAGTGTCCAAGGAATACACAATATGTTTTGCACACTCTTTTCCGCTAATATGCACTTTAAAGCCTAGTGATTTTTCCTATAGGTCACTACTTTGGAACATTTGCATTAACAGAAGTTATTTAAAATGAGATGCACCTTATAAACTTCTTTCCCTATAAAATTAATTAACTCCTTTCTTTTTCTGTCATCAACCCAAGTTGTCAAGCGTGATGGAAACCATAACAAAGTTCGATTTTTTTTAAATGTATAAAAGAATTAACTCTTTAAAACTTCAGTATCTCAAAGGAAGCTGCAATGTTAGCATTTGAAGAAGATATGGATGAGTTTTCAATGTTTTGCATGAAAGAAATCTGTTCTGTAAACCCAATCCTGGCTGCCAAGGCCACACCTTCTAACCTTCCCGTAATGTACAAGTCACTTGGAGGGGTGTACGGCTGCCAAGAGCCGAGAGTAAAACCCTAGTTGTGAAGTCCGCACAATACGAGGCCTGGCCGGGGAGCCTCGATTCCCGGAGGAGCGGTGCGGTAATTCCTGCTCCTGCTCAGGGGTGCGGACAACACACCCCACGTCCCCACTCACACCTCAGCCCCACCGGCCTCGGCGTCCCCAACAGCCGCCGCCGACCGCAGGCCCACGGACCCCTATGGGGTGGAGGCCGAAGTCGGGCCACGCGGGCCGCCTCCTGCTCCGCAGCGAGTCCCCGAGTCCGTCCCGCCTGCCTCCTGCCGCCCCGCGCAGGCTCCCCCAGGCCACCCGCGACGGTGGGGCCGAGCCACTCACGTCCGTCCCCGTCTTCCTGCAGATCCTCCTGGAGCAGCGACAGGTCTGCGCCGGGAAGAGAAAAAAGGCCGATCAGCACTCAGAGCCAACGCGGCGCCCCAGCCGCCCGCCGCCCTCCCCCAGCGGCCCCCCTCCCCGGCCAGGCCCCCGCCCCGGCCTCGCCCGGCCTCCACCCGGGCTGAGCAGAGGGAAGTTGGGCGCGGGGAGCCGGAGCCGCCGCCGCCGCCGCCGCCGTCGTCGCCGCCGCCCGGGAATCAGGGGCACGTACCCGCCATCTTGTGTAGCCCCCGCCTCCTCGCCTCCGCGGATCCGGCTACGCGGACGGCGCGAGCCGGGAGCTGCGAAGGCGCGCGGGCCGGCGGGGAGGACCGGCGGGGGCGCGCGCAGGGCGCGACGGTAGTCCGGGCCTGCGGCGGCGGCGACGGCGGCGGTGGCTCCGGGACGCCCGCCGCGCCCACCTTCCGCCTTCTGCGCCTGGCCCCGCAGCGCGTCCACACCCTCGGCCAGAGCTGCCCTGTTGCCGAGTGTACGGCCCAGGCTCGCGAGCTGGCCCGCCCAGACCAGCGGCGACTGCCGGAGCCTGGCCGGGTGGGGTCCCCCGCGGCCTGCGGCTCTATTGGGTCACCGGCCTCGCCCACCGTCCGGGCGGCTGCCGCCTGCTGGGCCGCGCTCCGCTCGCCGCTCGCGCCCCTCCCAGACCTGCTCGGGCGTCGCCAGCGGACGGCGGCCGGAGCTCCCGCCTTCGGAGAGAGGAAGCGCCGCCTCCGCCCTCCCTAGCCGCGCCGAGCGGAGGCGAACAAAGCCCTGGGTTGAGCCTGGCGGTGGTGGAGTGACGAAGTCTGGCCGGTTCCTCCGGCCCTGCGTCGCGACTCGTGTCAGGCCGGCTCTGCCCTCCGCGCTCGCTGAGCGAGAGGCGCCCGCCCGGCGAGGCGAAGGACCAGGTTAGACCCCTGGCGAGCCCAACTGATAGCTAAGGACGAGCCTGCTGGAAAGTGGTGCGCCTAGGGGTTGCCTTTGCCCTCTTTTTCTTTCTTCTCTCTGTTCAGTAATTTTGGCAGCACTTTCCTCCACCGAAGTTTGTACCACAGAATTTGGGGAAGGTGGGAGGGCTGGATCTTTAAACTCCGCCTGGGCGTGCTGCCTTGGCTTATTTGCTCAAGGCTAGCTCGCTACCACGTGAGCCACAGCTCCATGTTGGGCTTTTTGATGGTTAATTGGACATAAGAGTTTCATGGACTTCTCACTGGACTGGTTTTGAACCTTGATCCTCAGATTTCAGCCTCCTGAGTAGCTAGAATTTTACAGATAGGGCATGAGGCCCTAATCCTAACGATCTGCGTGATTTTTCTTGGTGGATAATGGTGATTTTATAGTTAATTTTCTTGTACTATCTACTTTGTCAAGGTAAATGGTTTTATCTACACAAAATACATTTTATTCTCACCTTATAGAAACTATATTTAAACAAAATAGTTATCATTGTTCTATTCATATACCCCAATTTCGCTTCTCATGTATCTTGTGGATACTAGAGACTGTTTTTATCTAATGGTCAGAGCAAAGTAGTAGTTCCAAATTGTTATCTAGCTTTGCTACTGAAATCTGTGAAGAAAGTGTCACAAGTCGTTTTTTAAAAAAATACCATCGAATTATATGAATATGAAGGCTTGAACTTACGAAAGTTCTCCAAATGAAAAATGAGGCTTGGAAATTAATTAGCTCTTCACTCAAGTAAGGAGAAATAAATTGCAACAATAAAAACAGGAAACGCATCTGATACTATGCATTTACATGACATCCCATTAATTATTGTCAGTGATTGAACTGTTTTCAGAATGGCCATTCCTAGAATTGAACATATATATAAAAGGCAGACCTTTTTGTACGTAATAAAAATCCTGAAACGAAAAAATAGTCAAAATCCTGTTAAAATACTTGAGTGGCATAGGATGTGGTAGTGGTATAATCCCAGCTACAGAGGAGGTAGTCTAAAAAGTCTTTTGTCTACACTTTTTTTTTAAATTGTGAATTTCAGGTACTAGTGGCTCATATTGGAATCTTTGGGAAACTGAGACTGGGACAGGATTTGAGGTAGCCCAAGCAGAAGAATATGTGAGACTCAAGGGAAAGAAGCTAGGCATAGTAGTGTAAGCATGTTATCCCAGCTGTGATTGGAAGTCTAAAATAGATCATGGCTCAGGAGTATACCTCCAGCAGGAAGGGAGACCCTATCTCAAAAATAACTTGCATAAAAAGGTATAGAGCCAGGTACCTGTGGCTCATGCCTGTAATCCTAGCTACTTAGGAAGATGAGATCTGAGGATCGCAGTTCAAAGCCAGCCCGGGCAGGAAAGTCCCTGAAACTCTTATCTCCAATAAACCACTCAGAAAACTGGAAGTGGCGCTGTGGCTCTAGAGCTGGAGCACTCGCCTTGAGCTGAAGAGCTGAGAGACAGTGGCCAAGCCCAGAGTTCAAGCCCCACAACCGACCCCCACCCCAAAAAAAAAGGTATAGAGATATTGCTTAACAATAGAGTACTTGCTTAGGAAGCATGAAGCCACTGCAAGAGAACCTGCCAAGGTGCATTGTAGAGTGTGTGCTGAAGAAATATTTACCTTTCTGAATTCAAATGGTAGAGTCAATTTGATCCTGATGGCAGTGGCTGAGGAATGTAATCGAGACAGTGACTCATGCCCAGACAGTAATGAGCAGGCAAATTGCCTTTTTCTTCCCTCCTCTTTTTCATCATTCCTTCCACACTGCTTTCTTCTCCACTTGGCCAGTGTCTGAGATGCTCACACAGCTTCTAGACTTTCCTAAAAGTCCTTTCCAGATCTGATCTCCCTGTGAATCACCTTGATGTGTTTGTACAATCTCCTCGTTGCCAATTCCATTAAAAGCTACCTTAATCAAGTCTTAGTGGCTCAACAGAAAACAGGGGAGTTAGAATTAAAATACTAGAATACTGATTCTCTTCAGAATGGTAGAATTTGTATATAATCAATTTTGTTTACTTTTCCATCAAATTGTCATTGAGCCACCCTCTCTGGTGTCAAAGAGACCTGCCTACCTCACATAGGGTCATCTTCAACTCCACCAAGGTCATCACTAATCATCCTGGGCCTAATTAGTAATTAGGTACTGTTTCCAATTACAAGAATAAAATCATCACCCTAACCAAAAATCCTACCCAAGATATTCACGACCTGAAAGCTTATTCAAGTAAAGAATGTAAAAACAGCTGGGCACCAGTGACTCACACCTGTAATCCTAACTACTCAGGAAGCTGAGATCTGAGGATCCTTATTTGAAGCTAGACTGGACAGGCAAATCTAAGAGTAAAAAATAATACTTTTCTCCAATTAGTTACTACAACAAAAGCCAGAATTGGAGATATGGCTCACAGGATAAAGCAGCAGCCCTGAGGGTTTGGGTAGGGAGAGCTAAGCAAGAGTGAGAGGCCCAGAGTTCAAGCCCTGCTACTGGCACCAAAAAAAAAAGTTAAAAAAAAGATCTTGTGTAACATTTTACTTGTAACAATTCTGTGAAAATACAGAGCATTTGTAAATACAGAAAATGTGGACCAAGTGCTTGGCCACTGTTTACTGCCACTTCATTCCTTTCTGAAGCCATAAAGTCTGCCCTGCCAGTAGAGTCCTATGTAAGAGACTTATTTTATTCTTGTTATGTGGAGCATTGGGAAGATTCTATATCTTTACAATATTTACACATCTCTGGCCTTTCAGTGATAAAAATGCATTTTCTTGAGAAATCCAGAAAACTGTATTGAATAAAATCACCAAAAGTACTTGCATACAGATTTTACTCAAGAAAACGACTATCACTTTGCCTTCTTTGTTAAGCTTCACAGTTTAATATTTGTGTATGTTACAAAATAAATTTATTGAAATATAGTTCATTTGCCATAAAATTTACTCCAGTGCACAATTCAATAGTTTTTAGAATGTTCACAAGAGTTGTGCAATCACATTTGAGACCATTTCCCAATACACGTAAAAGCTCTATTTAAACCAGGGCACCATTGGTTTATGCCTGTAATCCTGGCATCTGAAGATTACAGATTCAAGCCAGCCTGGCAGGAAAATCTGTAAGACTCCTATCTCCAGTTACTCAGGAAAAACAAAACCAAAAAACCTGAAGGTAGAATTCTGATTCCAGGGGTAGAGCACCAGCTTTCTGTAGGATAGCTAGTGGCTCACACCTGCATTCCTAACTACACAGGAGGCTGAGATTTGAGGATCATGATTCAAAGCTAGGCCAGGCAAGAAAGTTTATGAGACTATCTCCAATTAACTAGTAAAAAATCAGGAAATAGAGCTGTGACTCAAGTGGTAGCATACTAGCCTTGAGCAAAAAAGCTCAAGGACAGGACCAAGGCCCTCAGTTCAAGTCCCAGTAGCAGCTCATGTACATGGGCACATGAGTGCACACAAAAAAAGAAAAATGGAAAAACCCTAGTTATAACTAGTAAGCGCTTACATACAGATAAGAGAATTGGCCTGAATTAGCAATCAGTCACCACTGCCACCCCATACAACCCCAGTCCAAAGCAATTATCGGTCTGTTTTCTATCTTTATTACTTAGTCTGTTCTGAGTATGCTATGCAAATAGATTCAAATAATGTATGTTCTTTAATGATTGGCTTCTTAGCATATATATTTTCAAGGGTCACATACGTTTTAGCATGTTCAGTATTTCCCTTTTTTATTGATAAATAATGCTCTATTATATGGCTATATTTTATTTTACCTACCCATTTTTGGCTGATAGAAATTTGGATTGATAGAAATTTATTCTCACATATTAGTTGTTATGAATAATAAATATCTAAAAAGCTTTTTGTGTAGATGTATGCTTCATTTCTCTTGGATAGATACCAAAAAATGGGAATGCTTGGTCATATGGTAACTCCATGATACTTTGAGGAACTGCCAACTATAATTCAAAGCAATGCACAGTTTTACATTCCCATGAGCAATGAATGTGAGTTCTAATTTATTCACATTTTCCTACATCAAACATGCCTCTCAAAGTTACTCTCACAAATGACATAATTATGTATGTGTAAAAGACAAAAACCAACCTATACAGTATTTAAGTCAAGAAATAAATTTAGGCTAGGAGTAGTAGTACATTTCTAAAATTCCAGCTACTCAGGAGACAGAGATAAAAAGACAGTGGTCTGATACCACTGTGAAAGTGGTATCAAAGTGGACAAAGTTGGAGTAAGATTGTCTGAAAAAAAAACTAAGCCGGACACTAGTGGCTCACAACTGCAATCTTATCTGTTCAGGAGGCCGAGAGTTAGTAGATTACAGTTCAAAAGCACCTTGGGTAGAAAAGTTCAA